AAATCTGATGGTACCAAGGGATGGACACTCCTCCCCTGCTAGGAGGCTATGTGCTGATGGAACCACGGTGGAGATCTGGCAAATATCTGTAAAGCCGAAGCGACAAACAGCCTGAGGCCAACAAGCCCACTTCTATTTAAATGCTCAGAGGATCTCACACTTGAACAAGGAGACACAGTCTAGAATGTTCACTGCACCATGGTTTATAACAGAGAAAAACTATAAACTACCTAAATATAGTATATTTACACAATGGAATACCATACAGCAATCAAAATAAATGAACTAGAGCTATGTGTATCAATGGGGAAAAAAAGAATCTCTTAAAAAATACTCGGTTTTTATAGAAAATGACATGGGGCCATGATGCAAGTCTCAACAAATTTCAAAGAATTTAAATAATGCAGACAATGTTCTGAGACTGCAACGCAATTAAGGCAAAAATCAATAGCGGTGGGGGACTTCCCTGGCGGTCCAGTGGTTAAGGATCCGCTACCACTGCAGGGGGCATGGGTTCGATCCCTGGTCAGGGAACTAAGATCCCACATGCCACACCATAGCATGGCCAAAAGAAAAAAAAAAAAAAAAAAAGAAAAAGAAGAAAAAAGAAATCAATAGCGATGGGTATAGAGTTGCCTTCTGGGGTGATGAAAATGTTCAGGAACTAGATAGCAGTGATAGTTATACAACTCTGTACATGTACTAAATGCCACTGAATTGTACTTTTTTTTTTTTAGGAAAAGTGGTTAAACTGGTCTTTTTTTGGCAGAAGAGCAAGTCATTTATGAAAATTGGAATTGAGTGCGCATGGGGGTGTACCGATCAGATCTGCAGTTTAGAAAGCTCACTTTGCCATCATGCACGGGATAGTTTACCTTTTTTTAATGACTTTTTTTATTGAAGTAGACTTACAATGCTGTGCCAATCTAAAATGGTAAATTTTATGTTATGTGTATCTTACCACTATTTTTTAAAAAATCAATAACAAAAAATACTGCAGAAACCCCGTCTTAATACAGTAATACTCTTTTGGGACTTCCCTGGTGGCGCAGTGGTTAAGAATCCACCTGCCAATGCAGGGGACACGGGTTCGAGCCCTGGTCCGGGAAGATCCCACATGCCGCGGAGCAACTAAGCCCGCGCACCACAACTACTGAGCCTGCGCTCTAGAGCCCACGAGCCACAACTACTGAGCCCACATTCCACAACTACTGAGCCCGCACGCCTAGAACCCATGCTCTGCAACAAGAGAAGCCACCACAGTGAGAAGCCTGAGCTCCACAACGAACAGTAGACCCTGCTCACTGCAACTAGAGAAAGCCCGTGCACAGCAACAAAGACCCAACGCAGCCAAAAATAAATAAAATAATACTCTTTGAAACAACTGATAAGTCAAAGGAGAAAGCATAATGGAACTCAGAAAACTGAGTAATAATGAAAATACAATCTATTGAAATTTATGAAATGAAGCTAAAACCATGCTTAGAGAGAAATGCATAACTTTAAATTCATTCCTTAGAAAAAAAGACTGAAAAAAACCAATGAACATTCATCCCAGGAAGCTGGGGGGAAAAAAACAGCAAATTAAATCCAAAAAAATTAGAAGGAAACTATCAAATTAATTTAAAAACCACAATACTGAATGTCAGTAGTCAAAAATTGGTATTTTAGGGCTTCCCTGGTGGCGCAGTGGTTAAGAATCCGCCTGCCAATGCACAGGACACGGGTTCGAGTCCTGATCCGGGAAGGTCCCACATGCCGCGGAGCAACTAAGCCTGTGCGCCACAACTACTGAGCCTGTGCTCTAGAGCCCTCGAGCCACAACTACTGAAGCCCTTGGGCCTAGAGCCCATGCTCTGCAACAAGAGAAGCCACCGCAATGAGAAGCCTGCGCACCGCAACGAAGAGTAGCCCCCACTCACTGCAACTAGAGAAAGCCCGTGCGCAGCAACGAAGACCCAACACAGCCAAAAATAAATAAATAAAATATTTTTAAAAATTGGTATTTTAGAAAGATGATAAACCTCATCTTAATTAAGAAAAAGATAAAACACTAATAGTCGAAGTCAGGTATAAAATAGGGACTTCACTACACTATCATCGCCCCAAAATACACACCACGCATTTTATCACAGAGAAACCATCAGACAAAGCTGGACAGAGGGACAGTCTACAAAATTAACCAGCCTGGACACTTTAAAACTGCCAACGTCACCATAAATTCAGTATGAGAAACCATCCTAGAATGAAAGAAACAAGAGACCCCTCAGCTAAATGCAACGTGTGATCCTGGACCTTAAACCACGGTGAAGGGCATTGAGAGGACTGGCAAATCGTGAGTGACGTCTGCAGACCATGGTTAAGCTTCCCAACTTTGGTAACTGTCCCCCTGATGTGTAAGTGAATGTGACTGTCCTTATTCGTAGGAAACACACACTGGGCACAAAGCGACATGATGTCTGTGACCTACTTGCATAGTTCCAGTTCAAGGAGACCCAGGGCAGAATTCAGCATTCAGTTCTGAGCTGGAGAAGCTTCAACTAAAGAAGGCCTGCTCCGTCAAAGCCAAAGGGTTGGTGGTTGACTCTCCCCACCTCCTGTCCCCCCCAGGAGAGGGAGACCCCCAACCCATGAGAGCATCCAGAAGACCTGGAGCGCACAGACTGGACCTTGAGCGGAAATGGAGGACAGTATGGCCCTCTATGACCCCGAGGCTGAGGTTCTTCCCAGCTCCATCTAAGCGGACGCCCAGCTGGGGCGGCCGCTGGGAAAACAGGCCTGTTCCCCGGCCGGGCGGGCTCTGATGGCCCAGCCCTTTGCCCTGGAGAATCACTGTGGCCCTAGCTGGCGCCTGGCCCTTCAAGGCCCAGAGGCTTTTCAACAGGTAGGGCAGACTGGCCCGACCAAGACAGGAGGGGCCAGAGTCCGGAGCAGGAGAGCTGGGTTCCCAGCCTGGCGTCCCAACCTGGGACTGGGGCTCAGGTCGGGCTCCTCTGAGCCTCAAAGCTCCCTCCCCCACCCCGTCCCCCACTGCCTAGAGGAAAGGCCCAGAGACAGCTTCAACCACGTGCCTGTCCCCTCACCCTCACCTGGGCCAGCAGCCAGGGCTACCTCGCTGGAGGCGTCGTGGAGCCATCTGAACGCCACTGCCCCTGTTCGTGGGGTCAGCGACTCAGGGAGAGGCCGCCCTTCGCCTGCCTCCCAGGTGGGATGGGTCAACCGTGGCTGCTCCGGGGGAGAAGCCTGGAATCCCAGCCTGCTCCCCGCACCCTCAGCTTGCACCCGAGCCCAGGGCCCCGCAGAGGTGTGAGCTAGCTGCTTACCTGGAGCAGGAGGCGGCGCCGTCCACCAGACCCCAGGGCGGCAGGGAAGCGGTCTCTGCGTCTCGTTAGCGGGATCCCTCTCCTGTTGCCCCTCGCGCCCCGCCCTCCTGCGCAGTGGGGGAAAGCGGGCCGCAGCTGCGCCTGTCGTCCCTGCGGTGCCCGGCTCCTTCACCCCGCACACCTGGGCCAGATGCCCAGACCCGAGAGGCCCGCCCCGCCAACAGCGGCCCGTGGAGGCGTGTGAGCCGGCAGAGCCGCTGGCGAGGGAGTCGTTGCTCGGGCGCCGGGGCGCTGCCCGCGGGCCCAGGGCGAGGCCGGCGCTGGCGGGGGGAGGCTGGAGGCTGCCTCCCTCGGCCGCGCGGCGCCCCTCACCCGCACCCCTGCACGTGAACCCGCGCGCCGCGAGAGCCCGCGCGGTTGGGCGCCCACTTGATGGTGGCTCCAACTGGTCAGGTTCCCCGTCCCCTCTTCCCTCCAGAGACCTCACAGCAGTAGCAGGTCAGCTTCCCGGCCCTTCCCGTTCTGCGGAGGGCTGTCCGCACCTCTTCTGAAACTGTCTGCGGGCTCTTGCCGCCGCCCTCACCCCCTGTTCCGTTTCTCCCCCAGCAGCTCCGCTCTCCACACCGCGCCACAACGGTTAACAGCATGGGCTCCCCGCACAGAGGCACGTCGGCCCAAAGCCGGCCCCGCACCACCAGGACCCAAACCGAGTCCTCCTTAAACCAACTCCCTTGCTGAGCTGGTGATTAATCTCTATCCAAAACTTTATCCCCTTTCTTATACCCTCTGGCCTCAATCCTGTGCCAACTACACACTAATCAACCAGCGTCCGATGACTACAACAGCTGTTGTCAATAACACTGTTAATGTGCTAAAACTGCTATCATAGATACCATTACCACACAAACTCAGGGTGTTTCTCCAGGGCAAGATGAGTTCACAGACCCCTGAGCCATGGGCCACCCGGCCAGAGAACCCTAAACCAGAGACATCCTGACTCCCGAAACTACCATTCATCACAGAAATGATTAATCTCAGCCTCTCTGTTCTTCCCCTTAAGAAACCACCTGGAGTGGATCTGAGGCTTGTCTCCACTCTGTTGCTTGGGGCCTGCAATAAACACTGTACGTTCCTTCACCACAACCTGGTGTCAGCAGATTGGCTTTGCTGCACGTTGGACGAGTGGACCTGAGTTCGGTTCGATACAGGACCCTCTCACTACAGGCTCAGTGCTGGCCCTCAGTGAACAGATAGTAAGCAAATCAGACGCTTTCGAAGTCTGTTTCCTCGGCTTTGCTCCTTCCCCTCTCCTCTCCCCCTAGCCCCTCTGCATCCTCCTTCCTCCTGCCCTGAGGCTGGCACTCACTCACCTGACTGCCCGCCCGTGGCCCTAACCTGGCTGGCCCTCCCTGCTCAGCAGTGGGTCTCCTAGACACCCAAGCCCTTATTCTCCTGAACTGCATCAACCCTGCCTCGTGCTGGAGCTCTCCCAGTGTGGAAATGGACCCTCCCGCTGCAGCTGGCTTCACATAATCACACACACACACACACACACACACACACACACTCTCTCTCTCTCTCTCTCTCACTCACTCACACAGAGTGGGGGGTTTGCAGGAGAGCAGATTAAAGGACCATCTTTCCCTCCCCAGCAGCACCCAAGCAAGGACATGAGGGTCAGGGGACAGGTATGCTTTATTACTTACTTCCCACAGGTGATCATCCCACAGCACGAATCAGACCACCCACCTGCACTCATTTATACTTTACAAAGAACAGGTTAATGGGATGCAGGGCAGCTTCCACAATGACCCAGCCCCGAGGCTACAGGGCCTGAGAGAACACTTCTGCTTCGAGGCCTGGTCATTCCGGGCCCCCACCGCACCCCACTCCTCCAGACTCCTGACCTCAGAGGAAAGAGGACGCTGGGTCTCACACTAAGCGCCAGGGCCCACAGAAAAGAACTGGGGAGTCCCCAAGTGGTAATTTCTCCCTTCCCACGGCCCAGCCTCCAGATGAAGAGAATAAGGCACAGTCGGTGGTGGAGAGGGAACAAAGCCAAGAACCTGAGCTGAGGACGGGCATCCTCAGACCACAGCCCGGCTCTTCCTTTCTCCCAGGCAGCTCAGTCTGGGGCGGATAGAGCTGAGGGCGGCAGGTCCACCCAGAAGACTGGGTCTGGGGACCCTGGCGAGAGGGGGCGTGGCCCCCACCCTTCTGCCCCACAGGCCTTGACAGGGAGTCAGGGGGAAGGCCACGTGGCTCCTGCCCACTTTCCCCTGGTCCTCAGGCCAGCCCGGATGCCGGCAGGCACTGTCGGCCCTACCGAGGGTTCAGCTCCGGTAGCTCCTGAGCAGGTGCCCGGCGATCACCAGCCTCTGAATCTCACTGGTGCCTTCATAAATCTCAGTGATGCGAGCGTCACGGTAGTGCCGCTCGGCTGGCATCTCTGTCACGTAGCCCATGCCACCCAGGATCTGTATGGCCTAAGGCGGAAAGGAGGGGCTCAGGAGGAGAAGACCCCCACTCGAGGGGAAAAACAGGACAGGATCAGCCGGGGGAGGGGCAGCCGGCACACTCGCTGCTACTCAACCCTTGGGACCTCCCTCGCCCAGGCACCGGGGGCACTCACCTGGTGGGTGATGGCAGTTGCGGCCTCCGATGCAGCCAGCTTGGCCATTGCGGCCTCCTAACCACAGGGGATGGTGGCGTCAGAAACTCGACCTTGGACGGAGCGCCCAGCACATGGCCCTCAGCAAGGTGGGCCTGGGGGAGCCACCCCTTGTAGCAATAAACCCACGGGCCCAAGGAACCGGGACCCCGCCAGATGTTTCCCTCAGTCCCTCCACCACCAAAGCTCTGGGCCGTGCCCAGGGAGACCCCAGCCCCACGGGCACCTTGATGAAAGGCCTCTTGTTATCCTTCAGCACCGCAGCGCGCCAGGTCAGCAGCCGGGCACTCTCCAGGGCCAGGGCCATGTCCGCCAACTTGAACTGCAACAACCCAGTCCCACCCCGGCAGTCGGTGTTTGCCCTCCCTCCCCTCTCCCTGCAAGACAGGAGGGAGGAGGGCAGAGAACACAGAAGCAGGTGAAAGCCATCTGGGAGGCAGAGCAGAAAGGCCAAAACTCTCTCCCTCCACCGCACCGTGCCTCGTTACCTGGATGACCTGCAGCTTGGTGAGGGGCGCCCCGAAGGCCGTGCGATTCTCGGCGTAGTTCACAGCACAGTCGAGGGCAGCCTGGGCGATGCCCAGGGCCTGGGAGGCGATGCCGATGCGGCCCATGTCCAGGGTTTGCTGTGAGGACCGCCCTGTCAGTGGCCGGCCAGCCGGGCCCCAGGGCCCCCGCCCCCGCAGCTGGGCTCACCATGGCAATCTTGAAGCCCATCCCCGGTTCCCCCAGCAGGTTGTCCTTGGGGATGCGACAGTCCTCGAAGATGAGGTTGGCAGTGGATGAGGCCCGGATGCCCAGCTTGTCTTCCTTCTTCCCTAGCGTGAGCCCAGGCGTTGGCATGGGAACCAGGAAGGCACTGATGCCCTGGAGGCCAGATGCGCCCAGTGACTTTTTCACCTGCTTGAGGCCACGCCCCTCACACAAACCACCACAGCCACCAGCTCCTGTCCCTTCCCTCCACCTCCCTCAGAACCTCGCGGTGACGCCCTCTGCCGGCTCCTCTGGGGAAGGCGCCGCCCGGGGAGGGAGAGGGACAGGGACAGCGGCACGTGCCCCAGAGCAAGAACAGCTCCATCGGACCGAGGAGGTTTGGATCTAGAAACTCTGAACGTCTCACTGACCCTCCCTCCGGGGTCCCCACCTTGTTCTGCAAGGATCTGTCCGTGCTGGCGAATACCACGGCGGCCGAGGCCTCCCAGGAGTTGGTGATCCAGGCTTTGGTGCCACTCAGGACCCACGAGTCACCGTCTGCCCAGGCAGTGGTGGCAGCGGCCCCCGCGTCGCTGCCGTTCCCTGCCCCACACGCAGACTCAGAGTACACCGGCGCCTCTGCCCTCCGAGGGCACCGCCACCAACTCACCCGGAACCCAGCCTCACCCCTGGCTGGTGAGCCAGACCCGGGTCCAAGGGATCAGGGTCTGGCTCCTGAGAGAAGGCTCGAGGGCCGCACCGGCTCCCACAGCTCTCGGGGTGGGGGGATGGGGGGATGTGACAGCTGGGTGTCTTCAAGCCAAAGGGACCCCAGGGCCCAAGTCCCTCCCTCCCAGCTCAGCCGAGGCGAGCCCGGGCTCTGTGGCGATCCCAGCAGCCAGAGCTCCACCCCAGGCCCTCACTCCTGCCCTCCTGCCCCGGGAGGCAACGAGCAGCTGACCCAGCTCAGCACCGGCCCCAGCCTGAGTCTGTCACCCCGATTCTGAGGGGAGGGGACAGGGGCAGACCACTGTCCCACGGTGATACCTGGTTCACTGAGGGCAAAGCAGCCAATTTTGTCGCCACTGGTGAAAGGAGTGACCCACTGCTTCTTCTGCTCCTTGGAGCCAAACTTCAGGATAGGCCCCAAGTAGAGGGACTGGGGGGACAGTGCAGAGCGGTCGGAGGCCTTCCAGCCCAGAACACCTGCCCGCCCGCGTATCCACCCCCAGGCCTCCTCTCTCCAGAGGCCCACGCAAGGGACCAGGTCCAGAGGTGGTCGGGGGCAGGGAGCCAAGGCCGGGCTGTGCCCCGGATGTGGGGCTGTGTGGCAGAGGGCCTGCCCCCCACCCACAGGAGCTTCCCCTCCACCGGTGTATCCAGGGCCCAGGCGCGAGACTCACGTTGTTGACGCTCATGATGACTCCAGTGGAGGCGCAGCCCCGGCTGATCTCCTCCATGGCAATGGCGTAGGCCAGGTAATCGAGGCCGGCACCGCCAAACTCCTCGGGCACATCCATGGCCATGAGCCCCAGCTCACCCATCTTCTTCACCTGGCCCCAGGGAAGGATGTCATGGCAAGGGCAGCTGCCAGGGGACGGTGCCCACCCTCTCCACCCCCAACCCTCCTGCCCCTGAGCCAGTGCCTGCAGAAACTCAGGTCACGTGGCCACATCCACCTACCCCAGGACCCCCGAGGCTGAGTCTGCAAGACAGCACCATTCATTGAAGCCGTCCTGTCCCCACATTCTGCCCCAACTCTACCCTGTGTCTACAGACACAACCAGTGAGCAGGCAGAAGGCACAAGAAGGCTTTAGGGGCCTCTGAGGTAGGGAGCAGAGCAGGGCAGCACACTGCCACACAGACCTTCTTTCAGTCCCTCACGCGTACCACACTTCCCCTCCCCACCACAGGGCCTTTGCACATGCTGTTTCCTGTCAGTGATACCCTTTATCAACTAGTTATTATCTCCTCCCGTCCTTGGGGCTCAGCTCAAGCATCACTGCTGCATGGCCACCTCTGACCTCACCGAGTCAGATCCTTCAATCACACGCTCCGGCAGCATCTGTGCCTCTCCTTAGTGGTGCCTGTGCAGCTGTAATTTCACACCTATTCACGTGCTTGTTCTGATTAAGGTCTCTCTCTGTGACCACGAGGGCAGAGATAGTGCAGTTTTGTCCACTGCTATATTCCAATGGCAGTGAAAGAATGAATAAAGGGGAAGAAGCTTGGAATTTCTGACTTGGAATACCAGTGGTGATCGTTAATTATCAATGCCCAATGCTGAAAAATGCTTTATGTGTACTCTTAAATTTCAGTCTCGCCGAAGCTCTGTGAGGACAATGCTGAGTCAACCTCATGTCACAGGTGAGGAAACCGGAGCTCAGGGAGGTGAAGCAACCAGTTCAGGGCGGAGCTTGTAAGTGGTGGGGCTGGGACTGAAATCCAGCACTGACTCCAGGACCTCAACCAGCTCAGACCCTTCAGCAGGTTCCTAGGACAGATTCCTTACCCTCTGTCAGCCTGCTCCCCACCTGGGAAACAGGGACCACAACAGAACCTGCGTAGCTTTGAGAAGAAACAACTAAAACGAATGGCCTCTACGGAGCAGGCTGGGGTAGAAGAGGGACCGTTGCTTTTCATTAGAAAATCATTTTAGGACTTCCCTGGTGGCACAGTGGTTAAGAATCCGCCTGCCAATGCAGGGGACATGGGTTCGAGCCCTGGTCCGGGAAGATCCCACATGCTGCGGAGCAACTAAGCCCAGTGTGCCACAACTCCTGAGCCTGCGCTCTAGAGCCCACGAGCCACAACTACTGAGCCCACGTGCTGCAACTACTGAAGTCTGCGTGCCTAGAGCCTGTGCTCCACAACAAGAGAAGCCACCGCAATGAGAAGCCCGAGAACCACAACGAAGAGTAGCCCCCGCTCGCCGCAATCAGAGAAAGCCCGCGCGCAGCAACGAAGACCCAACATAGCCAAAAATAAATAAATAAATAAAATTATAAAAAAGAAAAAAAAAGAATCCACCTGCCAATGCAGGGGACACGGGTTCAATCCCTAGTCCAGGAAGATCCCACATGCCACGGAGCAACTAAGCCCGTGCACCACAACTACTGAGCCTGTGCTCTGGAGCCCACGAGCCACAACTACTGAGCCCACGTGCTGTAACTACTGAAGCCCACACGCCTAGAGCCCGTGCTCCACAACAAGAGAAGCCACCACAATGAGAAGCCTGCGTACCGCAACGAAAAGTAGCCCCCGCTCACCGCAACTAGAGAAAGCCTGCATGCAGCAATGAGGACACAACGCGGCCAAAAATAAAATATAAATAAATTCATAAAAAGAAAATCATTTTGTCATTTGTATCCTGTAACCGTGTTCTTAGACTATGCTGACTTCAATGAAGCAAATCAGTAAGAATGTCTGCCATATTTTCTCATTTGTCTATAATTAATATTACTTCTGTGATCATAAGTTTGATTCCCCCCTTCCCCAAACAGTACTTACTTCATAGAACTGTTTTTAGGACTAACTGAGACAATATATATATAAAATGCTGAGCCCAGTACCTGGCACGAGGTGAGTGATCAGTGAATGGCACTGTTTAAAAAATTTTATTGAAGTATAGCTGATTTACAATGTTGTGTTAATTTCTGCTATACAGCAAAGTGACTCCGTTATACATCTATATAGTCTTTTTCATGTTCTTTTCCATTATGGTTTATCACAGGATGTTGAATATAGTTCCCTGTGCTATGCAGTAGGACCTTATTGTTGTTCCATCCTATATATAATAGTTTGGATATACTAATTCCAAACTCCCAATCCTTCCCTCCCCTTGGCAACCACAAGTCTGTTCTCTATGTCTGTTAGTCTATTTCTGTTTTGTAGATGGCTTCATGTGTGTTGTTTTTTGTTTTTTGTGGGTTTTTTTGCGGTACGCGGGCCTCTCACTGCTGCGGCCTCTCCCGTCGTGGAGCACAGGGTCCGGACGCGCAGGCTCAGCGGCCATGGCTCACAGGCCCAGCCGCTCCACGGCATGTGGGATCTTCCCGGACCGGGCAAGAACCCGTGTCCCCTGCATCGGCAGGCGGACTCTCAACCACTGCGCCACCAGGGAAGCCCCATGTGTGTTGTATTTTAGATTCCACATATAAGTGATATCACATGGAATTTGTCTTCCTCTGACTTACTTCACTTAGTATGATAATCTCTAGGTCCATCCATGTTGCTGCAAACGGCATTATTTCATTCTTTTTAATGGCTGAGTAGTATTCCATTGTATAATGTGTACCACATCTTCTTTATCTATTCATCGGTCGATGGACATTTAGGTTGTTTCCATGTCTTGGCTATTGTAAATAGTGCTGCTATGAACACAGAGCTACATGTATCTTTTCAAATTATAGTTTTGTCCGGGTATATGCCCAGGAGTGGGATTGTTGGATCACATGGTAGCTCTATTTTTAGTTTTTTAAGGAACCTCCATACTGTTCTCCACAGTGACTTCACCAATTTACATTCCCACCAACAGTGTAGGAGGGTTCCCTTTTCTCCATACGCTCTCCAGCACTTATTATTCATAGACTTCTTAATGATGGCCATTCGGACCGGTGTGAGGTGGTACCTCATTGTAGTTTTGATGGGCAGTTCTCTAAGAATTAGCAATGAGCAAGTGAATGGCACTTATTATCATTAAGTGACTGATAAGTTCTTGTCTTGACAGTGATGTCTGGGAGGAGGGGCACTGGTGAATCTGCTGAACTTCCATAATGATTTGTGTCCCTCTACGAAACTGCTTGTTTGATTCTGCCTTGAGTTGTTCCCATGGGAAACTCTTGTAAGACTCTAAGCTTGGGGTGGGCCTGACCGTGCTCAGGCTCTCCCGTGTAACACAGGGGAGGAGACGGCCACTGCGTGGGAGGCAGAATGACAGCCCCCCAAAGACGAGCACGTCCTAACCCCCGGGACCTGTGAATGTTTCCTCACGTGGCAAAAGGGACTCTGCAGGTGAGATTAAGAGAAGGATCGTGAGGTGGGGGGCTGCCCTGGATGATCCAGGGGGGCTAATGTCATCGCAGGGTCCTTGTAAGGGAAAGACGGAGACAGGAGGGGCAGAGAAGGAGATGGGACAATGAAAGCAGAGGCTGGAGGGACTGGGATGCTGGCTGGAGGGGTGGGGGTCATAAGCCAAGGAATGCAGGTGGCCACTAGACACTGGGAAAGGCAAGGAAGTGATTCTCCCCTGAAGCCACTGGAAGGGATGCAGGCCTGCCCACACCTTGATTTTAAGCCCAGAGAGACCCACTTTGGATTTCTGCCCTCCAGGAACTGTCAGATACTAAATGTGTACTATTCTAAGCCACTGAGTCTGTGGTAATTTGTTACAACAGCAACGGGAAGCTAGTACACAGTGATAAACGGGACTCAGAGCTCCCAGGGATGTGTCATTTCGAGAATCGCTTAAAAAAAATTCTGTGGTCACCGTGCACCTGGGGCCAGCGGGGGTGATGCTGCTCAGAAAAGCTGCATCATTGCAGCTGGTGGGAATCAAGGAGGGGGTGGGAGTGGAAAGTAGACAGTGGTTTAGGCAGGGTTGTCTCTGAACACGACCCGGCGACTCACTAAGCCCTGTGCCAGCGCAAGCGTGGCCTCAGAACAGAGCCCCCCTTTTTTTTTTTTTTCATTTTCTTTTGTTTTTGGCTGCACTGCACAGAATGTGGGATCTTCGTCCCCTGACCAGGGATCGAACCCATGCCCCTGCACTGGAAGAGCAGAGTCTTAACCACTGGACCGCCAGGGAAGTCCCAGAGCCCCTTCTGAACCCACACTTAGGGCCTGCAACAAACCTATTCCAGGGTAGAATAGTGTTTTATGCGGAATGCCTGTGCTGGGTCAGGAGCCAGGGTCGTATTCTACCAGGTGCCAGAAATACGCAGGGTCCCCAAGATTCATGCTCAGGCCTGGACAGGAACCCCGCTGAAGTGCGTTCTCTGGCCAAACAGCAAAAGAGACTGAGCTAAAAAAAAAAAGCCCCAATTGTCTCACGCTACACGCGCCACCCAGCTTCCCTGGACACTAAGACCCACCCCCTCTTCAGCCTCTATCTCCAGTACACAACCCTGGGATAAACGACAGATCAGCCGATCACACCATGATGCCATTTCACCCCAAGAAACAGAACAGGAACCAAAATTCCCAGACGGAGTGTAGGCAGGACAAGGATTACCCCATTTTCCTGTTACGGAAGGGGGCTCACGTGCAGATGGTGCCAGTCCCGGGACACCTGGATGGGGAAGCCAGAACTCCTGGCACTCGTCTCTACACCACACCACTGTCCTCTGACTCTCCTGACAGTTCTCTCTGTCTGAATAAAAAGCTGTAGGAGTTCACAATGACTGCACCCAAACGACTTCACTAGCATGCTATTTCCCCCAACCTTTCTCATTCTGAAGTGGATCTCGAGATTTCTGGCAATATGCCATGGCCAGCTGCAGGAACATTCTAGAAAAAAATTGGAGACATGGACTTCCCTGGCAGTCCAGTGGT